TCACAGTATATAATTTAACAGTCTAAATAAAATGTAAAAAGAAAAAGAAACAGAGAAGAATTAAAAAAAATAAAACGAAAAGTCTATCAAATTTAAATATCAAGTGTTCGCATTAAGACACACATCCGGTGTTGACTACGACTATCAACGAAATATGTCAGTTGAAACCGGTAGCTGGAATTTATATCGCGTGCATCTTGTACTTACACACGTTGGAACGTTATATTATACGTTCGAAGCAAGCATAGGATGTCGTGCATAACACGGACTAAATGTAAATACTAAGAAATCCAGATCCAGTGAAATACACAGTTGAATACATACGATCGACAATGGAAGATAAAACACAATCGAATAGTGTGTCTGATATGGCGAAGGATACCGTCTTATAGAAAATTCGTTTGATTCGAAAACTGATGAGAATTTTTGTGTACATAATACAAAAGGGCTATAAAAGGTTTATCTGTTAATATATTTGTGAGATACGTTTATATGATCGATTCTAAATACCAAAACAAATATAAATAAAGTTGATATACAAAAACGTCGGTTAAAGCTTATTTATTAAGTTATAAGCAATTGAAGTTTGCCATAGACGAAGACAGAGAATGAGACCGCTCTGTCTTCGTTATACTAGTGACGTGACGTTCTGCTTCTATCTCGCTTCATCTAACGCGAACTTAAATCGCTTATAACTCGATAAATAAGCCTCGACCAAACATTTTTTTAAATATCAACTTTTGTATTTATTTCGTGTAGAATCGATCTTCTAAAATATTCTACAAATATATTACAAACATCTTGTATAATCCATTATGTTATTACAACACATACTTTCATTAAAATAAATAAAATTTTTTAGATTAAGTAAATTTCCTTACGAGAAAATTTTTTGATCCTTGTTTGCACATCGATGATATATATAACACGAGAATCAAACGTTTAATTTCACGTTTTAAATATTTCTTTTAATTATCGATATTATTGCCTGACGCTTGGCTTTTCCTATGTTGTGAGAGAAACAACAAGATTAGTCGACTCTGTTCGAGGAACCTTGTTCAATAGATCACACGTATAAATAGAATCATCGGGTTAAAACGCGATTCGTTCTTATTTTCTCTCTTTGCCTTTCTTCTCGTCCCGTTTAATAATCGAGTTAATCGAACGAATTAACGATCCACGAATCGATCTATTGTTAGACACACGTGGAGAAAACGGTGGCCACGCAATGATATCGGCCAACTGTTGCTTTTAATACCTGATCAGATGCCAATGTAACGCGCACGGTTACCCGGTGGTTTTCTACGAAAATTTATCGACACTTTTTTCTCGAAATCGAATCGATCGCGATCCAAAACGTTCTACAGCTGATTCGAAAATTACACATATGTATACTATGTTGCTCGTCACGCAAATACGTACACTATAGCTTATACGAGACACGCGTATACTATATATTTTGATATGTATGTTTTTTAATTACGAACGCATCAAATTGGATCTGCAATTAATTTAATTTTTTTAATAAAAATATCACGTCATCGCGTTAAAATTAATTTATGATATTATCTTATAATGAGAAAATTTATTAACTATCTGCACATACAGTGGCAGTATATAAATTATAATTACAAAATTTAATATATATATATATATATGTGTGTATTTATGTTTTTATATTATTGCTACTGTACATAACAATATATAAATTCTAATTATATTTCTCTGCCAAAATTAAATTTATCATTAACAAATCATCGATGAATAATTTATCATATATAAAACTGATGAATCATTTTAATTCTAACGTAACTACGTATCACCAATATATTGCAATATATAATCAAATTATATAAGTTAATATAATAAAATTATAACATGTGAATCATGTATTTAATTTTACCTAAGTATCATTGGTACATTACAGCAGATAATGAATTTATAATAAAATTATAATTAAATTTTAATTCCGATTTATTAATTTCGTGAAATAACGAATAATAAATAATAAATCTTTCTCTCATTCATTGTTAACATCTCGTGGCATATGTTCCACACTGAATTCTCATTTGAAATTTTTTCCATTAAACTATAAGTTACGATGATGATTTATTAGAATAAAAATTTTCCTTTTTTCCCATAACGCATCTTCTTATGATTTTTGCAAATCATATTTACAATATATATTGTAAGGAAATTTGATTATATTTCAATAATTTAAATACGTATAAAAGATCCATAAAATCGATCCAGCAGCACAATATGTTAATTTGCAAGCTTTGATAAAATTCAAATAATAGATACAAGTAGAAGAAAGTTTTCAGATGCTCATGAATAGTGTATTTCGAACGGGAACCTCGAAATAACATGGAAGGCTTCGTGGAATCGCGTGGACGAAATAGGAAAATTCCTGTGAAATTCTCGATTCGCGGTGCAAAAGTGGAACGCGTGGGTTCTTCGGATAGTCGAGGCACGTTCCAACGAATGGAACGAGAAAGGGAAGAAGAAAAAAATAAGCGCGTGGAAAAGCTCGATCGAAGATGTTATCGTTCGAATTTTCCTCGAAACGTATCGCGTTGATGAGAAATTAAATTTGATCTCTTTTTATTCAAACGAATCCTGGGAACATTATACAGGATTATCAATCATTAATGCATTTATTTTATTATTTAAATATTTATGAACTTCAATTGTTAGTCAATATCAAACGTATATTTGAATAAATATACAATATTCTATTGAAAAATTATGAGACAAAAAAAAAAAAAATTGAAAAAAATGTGACTTGATAAGATATAATAATACAATAATAGAATTGCTTTCTTTTCTTGCAAACTTTATACCTTCTTTTTTCTTTCTTTATTTCTTCAATTTATTTTTACCATTTTATGTAATACACGAAACAACGTGCAAGCATTTTTTATCTACATGTGCACTTAAAATTGTACACATGTATATAATAAGAATCTTTAAAATAGAGATAAAATAATATTACACGTTTCCTTTAACTCATTTATAACTCGAAAACCAATGATATGTAAAACCAATCATATGTTTATGCATGTAGGAAATTTTTATTTTTTTTTATTTTCTTCTAAACTATCTATAACTTGAAAAACTAAGATATATGTTTTTTTTTTTTTTTTTAATTTATTTTAGTGTGATTAGTAGATTGTAAACTATAGTCATGCGTTTATGAATCATTCTATAGAATCTGCAGAACAAATTTAGAGTTTTGTGGGCGTAGGCAAGTTGTCGGCACGTTTTAACTCTTTGAACAGACTACATAAATAACATTGTATTCTTGCCTTACTAGGAAGTAATAAATAGAAGCAGATCCAAAATATCATTCGTTTATTATTCGAGGCTTCTATTATTAACGAAACAAGTATTATGCATTCCTTGGTAGAACTCGTCCACGTTATTCCTCGATTAATGAAACGGAGAAATGCCAAGAATATATCGATATCTCGTGACGTCTATATTACAGGACTAGAAACTTCGAAATTACATTGAATTTAATTTAAATTTCCGCTATTCTAGCACAATTTCCTTGATTTAAACCCATATGATTATTTTCTCTCTTTCAAAAATTTAAAAGTTATCCCAAGAATTTTAGAACATTTTAGAACAAGAGGCAATATCCAGAGGATTGTAACCGACTAATTGAAAGTAATTTCAAGTAGAAAAAATACCGAGAACAACGCCTCCGCCAAAGAAAGCTATTTCGAAGAAAATAATAAACTTTTTAGAAGAGGAAATATCAAGATTTTTATGCAACACCAATCTCGTGATTACTTTTTTGAAGAATGCATTCGTGGCATTCTTCGAATTTTATATTTATTCCAAAGTATCAACGATAACAGAACGATAACAAAAGAATCAAAACTTAGCGAAATCTTATTGAATGATACGATTCATTTTAGAAGACTATTAATCCACGTCTATGAGATATGTTTCATTCACGAGCGACGAGCGTAAAATCCAAGTTTGAACGAGTTTCAGACGCACATCCGGTGATTTCCTCTTTTCACGAGGAACTAAATAATTTAGCGGATGTACACGAGTTTCTTCGTGGCGAATGTAAACGTCTAATTCATCGTGTCGTAAAACGCGTCGTTCACCAGAGCGAGAAGTCAACGCGCGTTCAACCGGTTCAACACATTTGTTTCGTGATAATTATTTATCTGCTCATTAAATTTTAACCATTTACGTTCTTGAGTATAACGAAGTTATCATATGGAGAGAGAGAGAGAGAGAAAGAGAGAAAGAATAAAAGAAAAATGAAGAGTTTTTTCTTTTTTTTTTTTCTTTTTTTAGAAATGAATTGTACGGCGTCATCGTTGAGCATGAAAACGAAGTTTACAAAAAAAAAAAAAAAAAAAATAAAGCGAGAACGCACACGAAACACTTTGGAAGAACTTTCGTTCTCGCGTAAAACAAGCGTCTCTTATAAACCGGAGAGTAATTACACCACGGGTCTGGTTGAAAAAGTAATTTTAACGAGCCGTAAACCTGTATAGACACGCGATCGTTATTATATGGTGAATTAAAAAATTCAATGTGTGAGCCACGCTAAATATAGACATCGTTCTTCTCCTCAGTTATGACATTATGTCCCACGAATATAGTATTCGCGGGTCTATGAACAGTATGTAAATGATAAATAAATCAACGTATCACGATTGTTATCGCTAAACTTTTTCTTTTTAACACGATAGTTGAGTTGACACGAGTTAACAGAATTCCGAAAGTTTCTTTCCTTTTCAAAGAACGATCGTAAAGAATATAATTTTATGCGAATAAAAAAAAATAAAGATGCAAATATACTTGAGAATAAAATTTTTCTAAAAGTTTCTAAAAGAAAATATTCGAGAATATTTTTTGCAACTTGGAAATAAAAAGTTACACGGAATATTCGGGCGAAAAATATTCTCGAATATTAATCTTAAAACATAATTATTTATATATATTTAAGATAAAGGGAAAAATCGACATACCTGGTCGAATGATCGACGAAGGATCCACCGTCGAGGAGTCTGAGCTTGGCGAACAGCACTGCGTTCACAAATGGCACCGCGGTGAGCTCCTCGAGGTCCACCTCCACTGAGAATTTGTACTTCTTCTTCTTCATCATGAAGGCCATCTCACTAAGACCAAGACACTTCACTTTGACCGCGACTCGCTTACTCGTGGATAAAATGGGACCGGAGAACGTCCGCGATTCTCCAGCTTCTTACTTGAAAATCCTCGATGATTTCTTCGAGCGGAGAACGTGGTACACGGTACACGGGGCACGCGAGCAAAGCGGAAATTGTGCACTAAATGCGATCATTTAACGTGGCTCTTTCGCAGACAGCAACTAGCCGGCTACTATTTTCACTAATTACGTTTACTCTTTACCAAAATATCTCTTAACGTTTTCTATTCTGCTACAAAAAAAGGCAGTTCCACGTTCCTCCTCTTTTTCTCCCGTTTCTCCCCTTCTCTTTCTTATTAAATCGTAGTGTCGTCAAACGATTCGTTTTTCTTTTATATATAATATAATATATATATATATATATTTTTATTCGTAGATTCGTTTTAAAGCTTGGTCAATTTCGAGCGACGAAGCTGAACACTTGAAGCCGGCTGGGCGGATCTTGTTCGAAGCTTCAGCGACATCCCTGCTGCTCACTCTGTCTCGCTTTCTCACACGGACGTGACCTTCTACGATCCTTATTCGATGCCGACGCTCAGAAACGGCAATTATTCGTGCACGCCATCCTCGTCGTCGAGACTGCAAATTAAACAAAATTAGTATCTTATTGTTATTTATTATTGAGTATCTTATTGATAACAAAAACTAGGAGGAATCGTAGCCGGACGTTTCACCCACGACTATTACACCCGTATACGTAACACGTGTTCGTTTAACGATATTGACGGGGATAATTCGAGAGCCATGGATCTGGAAACTTTTATGACGGAACTATAAAAAAGGACAGTCTGGTCTGTTGTTTGCTTCTGGAATTCTTTGAGAATAGACACGTGCTTGGTTAATGTCGATTCTGATTTTCAAAGTCGTTATGTATAGTTCAGGTTATTTAACGTTTAACGCCTCGAATGTTGATGAAAATTATATAACGAAATCCTTGCTGTAATTATGACAATTTTTTTAAGAAAATTTAATATTGAAATGATGTTAAATATTCATGCATATTAATCGGAGAAAAGTTGTATACAAAAGTTATAATTAGAATGCGAATTTTTATGCAAATATAAAATATATTCCAAGTTATCTAACATATATATATATTCACAAAGTATATTAAATTATTAAATTACACTTGTAAAATAATTTTATTACGTATATTTACTTATCATAATTTGTTCTATGATATACATAAAAACAATTTTTCCAAAGTCATAAATTGGTATTTAAATTACATGATTAAATTTGCTTCAATGTCACACCACACTATTTTCTAAAGTATTATTAATTATTACACCATTTTTTTTTTATTTTTCTGTTCTTTTCTATCACGATATTTAAATATTGAATCAACTGTATCTTCTTATTACGAAAGATCTATTTATTATACATATCGATATCTATTTCGCTCGATATACAATAAATCATTCGCGTGCAAAATATGCAAAACACACGTAATACGAAAAATACATATTTGCACAAAAATCCGCAATCTAATCATAACCTAAGCGACATATTTACCAACGACATCGGCGACAAACGACCTATCGGTAAAAGAGCGAACTAACAGGAGCGAAAAGCAACATCGAACAAATACATAGTAGCGTTCGCGGGTGAACGTTCGCGAACGAATGTCACTGAACCTTTATCGACATTTTCAATAGGCACGTTCACGCGACTTCGAAACCTATAGTAGATTCGACGGACGGCCAGTCGTCGACGTTGGACGTTAGACATTGCTCTGCACAACGGCAATTGTTTTGAAAACGCTAATTGCGGCTGGGAACGCGAGCAAGCGAAAATGAACTCGTTCTTCCTGGAGTCGAGTTACAAGCTGCGAAGTAGGTGACCGCAGCCCTCCAGTTGCTCGAGGCGAGAGACCGAGCTCCTGCATTGCTACGAATAATTAACAGCCCTCGATGACTCTTTCGTCAATCGTTCCGACCATTCACACTGCACACACTGCACACGTATGCACTACTATATTATAAAAAAAGTAAAAACGTTATGACATTATCGTACATTTGAAGATAAAACTATACAAAATTAAAGAAATTATATAAAGAATAATTACTCTTGATTATATTTAATAATAAACTCATAAAATTGTGATAATTGAAATTGTATTGTTTATATTTTGAATTTTTTAATTATTCTCGGATATATTTTTGCAAATGGACATTCTTTCGAGAGTGATTCAAAGCAATCCAAAAGTAATTTTCATCATCGATGCTTATTTAACAAAGCAATCGAATTAACAAAAAAATCGAAAGCAATTCTTGAGAATTTTATTTTTAAATCTATTTGTATCCTTAAAAAAATGAATTATTGTTTAAAATGAACATTTTTGTTTATTTTATTTCTATTTTATATTCAAATTATATTTTAATTTTATTTTTTATAAAAACTCGTTTGATACGTTAGTATAAATTTAAAATGTAAAAATCTAATCTTCTCAAATTAAAATTACAGTCACTTTTATTATTTTTAAGCTTTAAAGCTTTTAATTATTTGTCAATCTATAAATCAAAGCAATAAATTTCTTAGATACGCGCTTCTCAAAGATAATTAATTGAACTATAATTTATTATGATAAATATGTATAGATAATTCAAAGATAAGTGATTACTTTGAAAATAGTGCTTTCAAGAAATGTTATATGCTGTAAAAACTTACGAACATGGAAACTCATTGAACTGTCTAAGTAATAATTGATTCGAGAGAAACAATAACAACTATGAGTGAATAAAACTTTATACGCAGACTCATAGTTCGTTAATGAAGAGTGAAAAGCAAGTTTAACACGATTTATCGAAATCAAATTTCCGTGAAACAAGTAACCTTGAACAGATTGAAAATGAAAATATAGGATTTATATGTAGCAAACATATTAAAATAAGTTATTTATATACTTAAAAAAAAGGTGCGATTTTAATTTAGAATGATAAGATAAAAACTGCGTGTAGTTTTGAAATCTCAAACTTCTAGAATCTCCTTTCTTTGATTGTTTGTGCCTTCTTGTTATCATTATAATAAATAGGCTTCCACGTAACTGTGGCGAAATACCTTGATTGTTGTTTAATGAAAGATAAAAAATAATTTTTAACTTATCGATGCGTCATCGATAAAAAAAAGAACAATTAATGTTTCTTAGATTATAAATTATTCTCTAATAATCACAAAAATCTATATTCTTGTTTGTTTATCGTAATAATTTTCATTGTGATTTAAATCTAATTCTACTAAATAAAAAAATATAATAAAAATATTCGCTTCTAATTCATTATATCATTAAATTGAAAAAAATGAAATTTATCCGATAATATAAAATATAAAAAAAAAGAATTAGATTTTCTGTTATAAATACTGTAGTAATAAATACAAACTATAAAAAATAGATCTCATACTTGAAGAATCTAGCATGAATTCAATATTTGATTGTCTATCTGCAAATATTTTACCGAATAAAATTCTGTAGAATACTTTCTAATTATGATAATGCAATATGATTCTAGATATTATGAATTACTGAATCGTTTAATTTCATAATCATATGCAATTGCTATTACTATTATGAATATATAATTATCGAAAGCGAAAAAGAATTCATGAATCTTCTCGAAATCTAATTCACACGTTATTTGACCTACCTGTCTGATTTTCCATATGCATTAAAAATTAAAAGCATTAAAAACACGGTTACTAGTATTTCCACTAATTTATTTAAACAAATTGTCTGTCACGTGAGACTCACTAATAAATTCCGTTTATAATAAGAAGTACACACATGATTAAGAATACTCGACAAATGTGTTCTGTCCCGAATAACCTTGCAATGAGTATGCGAAAAAAAGCGCGAAACAAACGATAATCGTGTACATCGTACGGAAATGATTTCGGCTACTTTCAGGTCTAAAATGAAAAACGGTTAGAAACACTATAAATAATCGAAATGATATTTTCGAATTAACATTGCCTTTTCTAAAGATAAAATTAAACGAAAATAAATAAACGATATATTATTTTCGCCTATTACTATAATAAACCAAGTTAAGAGTTAACTACTATTTTTAAATTTGGCAATACATAATTTGTAATAAGACTCAGAAGTATTCCATCATCTGTCAAATAATATCTAAGATAGAACATAACGTTGTAATGTATATAGTTCGTATTTTTTCAATACAAACAACTATACTAAAGTGATCTACTGAATATTGTCACATTTCTTCAATATATTCACAAATTTTGAAATACTCTTAATGTACACTTTATTGAAAGAAGAAACGAGAGACAATTCGATACTTCACAGAAATCGTCTCATGATGGCAGGTGCAGAACAGTTTCTGTCTTTATAACCTCTCTTTTCATCTCGCCGATGACGACCTAATAAATTTACAGATTTTTCTTATGGATCTATTCAATTCTACAATATACAGAAACAAAAAAGATTCTGATATTAATGAAAGATAAACCGCGAAATTACAATGATATGCGACGCCCGTTCCAGAAAAGAAGCAAAAAAAAAAAAGTCATTAGCTCTGAATTGTACTCACTTGTCTTCGACTTATTCCTGTTTTTATTGATTTTAGCCGACTTCGCACATTCTTACACTTTTCATGATTACAAATTCACTCCTCGAAAAACCACGAAATTACGAGTCTCAATACGAGAACCCGATAATTTTACAGACAAAAAATTTTCCTCACATCCGACGGAACGGAGGTCGTCTGTGAACTGACGCGTCTTGACTCCAGTTTGTTCACCAGTGTTATAGCACCACCTATCGTTAACTATATAAACTATATTCATGCGAATATTCTATTGGTCCTAAGATTAATTCACTATAAGCAAGATATTTTTCCTGATTGGTTATATCTAAATATCCAAAAGAATTTCCGGTACACTTTTGCATTATTCTGTCACTAACAACGAATAACTTCCGTTTTTTCGATAATAACGAATAATATTCTCTCCAATTAGAATAAACATTTAGAAAGAAAACTATTTGATTTCTAAATTTAAGTATTATACAATGTTATAAATTAATAATATTAATTATGTTAGAAATTAATATTAAAAACATTATTTTTATATGAAAAAATTCTTTAAATTTATAACTTTTATATTATTTAAATAATAAAATATTATATATATATATAATAACGATAAATCGTATAACAACAAATATTTGAATACAATTATATTAAATTTTATATATTATATATTTATTTAACTTATTTATTTAAATAAGATGAAATTATATATTTAATTAAAAATATTTTAATTATATATAAAAAAAGAAACTATATAAATTATGCGATTTATAACGTTTAGTAATTTTTATGAGCATACTTCTTTTTATTATTAAATTATTTTTATTATTATTATATTTTAATATGCTCGTAAATAAAATAATTATAATAAAAAATTTTATATTTATATTTATTGGATTTATATTTGTATAAAATTTTTCAAAATACATAAAAATTTATTGATGCAATAAAAAATATAAACGTTCTGTTTATGATTACATAACATAAAAAAATAGATGTAATTAAAAAAGATGTAATCTTAATCTACACAAGCAGAAAGCAACTAAAGTTGGTTCGAAGTTGTTGCGCGCTTTAAGATGATTTGCTCGTAATTCATTGTAACAAAGCAGACTTCCGGGGCCTTAGTACTCGAATGGCTGACGCCAAGGTTGTCTTTTCTGTCAAATGAAATTATTTCTGACGCGAGTGAAATCATGTAAATGTTCATCAATACTATTGAAAAATTATTTAAACGTAATACATCGATGCGTGGATTGTGGAATTGGGGTGTGTCCATAGTTTTAATCAACAATAACGCAAGAAGAGGCACCGGTGTCTCTTCAAATTTTGGATCCATCGAGAGGGTAATCCCTATTCTTTGCTAGGGGTACGAATAAAAGCAAACAACTAAAAGTGTTCACCAGCGAAAATCAAGGAATAAGTCCGCTTAAGAATGCAATTCAGATGATCCGAAATACTTGACAGCCAAATCGACATTATGAATTCGAGTTAGTGTGCTTTTAATGATGTCGTATCGAACTTTATATGCGCGAAGCTTGTTTTGCTTTTCTATCTTGATTTAGTGAATTATTTTGTTTGTATTCAATTGAATTGTGTTAATAAATTGAAATAGACGCTTGATTATTAGAGAATTCTGTTACAAGTATAAATTCTTTTTACCCACTTCGATTGTTTGCATTGAATTTATCGTTGAAATGATATTCCCTGGTTATAGAAAAAATAAAAATTGAATTAAATGCATTTGAGAAAGATAGTGAATAAAGTGCAATCATATGTGAGAAATATATTCTTTTGCTTGTTTCATTTCATTCTATAAATAGAATGCATATTGTATATCTTCTATATACAGTAAATGTGCAATTAGTTTTATCTCTAAATTTATTATGTAGTTGTGATCACAATTAAATTCATATATTTTTGTGTTTTGTTTTTAATCTTCATATAACTATTAAATTTTAAAATATATACATGCATATATCATACATACATACATGTATATCAATTATATATATATGTATATATTTTATATATACATATATATATATATATATATATATCAAATTTTTATATAAAAATACAAGAATATAAGAATACACTGAGTAAAAATTATCCTAATTCCTTATATTATTCTTCATCATGACAAAATAATAATATTATGTATTATATTATAGACATAGTTATGGAGGATAGTATGAGTGTTAAATCAATGGAATCAGTGGCAACAAGTGATGAATATGAATTTGTAAATGACAGAGGTAATGGAAAACATCAACAAGCATTGATTGAACAACCAATGCTAAAAATTGCCAATAACGGCAATTTCGAAGATCTACAAAATAATCTTCGTGAGGTTTGTATATATTTATATTATTTATGAATAACAAATATTAATCTATGTTTTTTTTCTACTGTATATTAATTATTATCTGTTTAATAAAAACTAGGTATTAACAGAAGATTCAAAGATGGAAAGTAATGAATATAAAATTGTAAGCAGTGCACAAACTCAACCAAAATCTAAAAAAGTAGGCCAAAGTAAGTTTTATGATGTAAGTTCTTGTATGGTTGCATCTGAAAAGCAAGATATCATGAAACCAGAAGATTATATTGATGAAGGTACAAATTATTATTTCTATATGTTAAGTATAAAAAATATTTTATATATCTTCTATTATATAATTTATTGTATTTTAGAAATAAATTCCTTGGCTCATGTTCAACAAGAATGCACTATTTTTAATGGTGTAACTTATTTGGGATCAGCAACAATAAATGCACCAAAATCAGAATGTGAAATACAACGTAATATGAATATATTAAATGCAGAACAATCTCTTAATTTGGGAATTAAAGTATCTGTTTCTGTGCCTAGTAGTTCTCAAGGCTCTGTTGTGTAAGTATAAGTATAATTAAAAAAAATTATACTGAATTTTTCATTTTATATTATTTCATTTTATATTATATATATATATATATAAATATCATATGTTATATTCATCTGATAGATTATATGATGCTGCTACTCAACAACCAATGGCACATTATGAAGTACAACGAATTTTGTTTTATGCACGTGGTGAAAGTATTGGTCCATGTGCAGCGTGTTTTGCTTTTACATGGTCACATGGAGATACATTGGAATCTGCAATTTATCAGTGCCATGTTTTTCGATGTGACATACCAGAAGCAGTACGTTTAATCTTTATAAAATAACATTATATAATCATAATAATAAGTCAAAATATATTAATCTTATTATTCATTACAGGTAGGACAAGTTTCTGCTTGCTTTTCCAAAGCTTTTCATAGAATACCACGATCAATGACTAGTTCTTTAACAGGAAGTGATTTCAATGGTTTTAATATTGGAACTGAAAAGACTAATTCTCGGGTATTTATTTTCGAAGTAACAATGGAAATAAAAGAAGAAGATGGCAAAGGAGGTTTCAGTATAGTTCCTAAGGACAGAAATTGCTTTAAACTTCGAAGTAATGTAGCTAAACAAGTGTGTTTAAGTATTCAGCAAGTTTCTAGCAAAGAAGGAGGAATTACTCTTGAAGTTGAAAGATGTTTTGGAGTTCTTGTTAGTCCTGGTCGCAATGTTAAACATAGTGATATGCGCTTACTGGAAATGGTAAAATTAAATATATAAAAATTAAATATTCAAAATTTAATTATATGTTTACTCTTCCAGTAATAAAATTAAATTATTGTTTAGCAAGTCAATGCTGGTCCATTAATTCAAGACAAACAATGTTATAACATATTTGGACATTGGGATCCTGCAGATCCAGCCTTAGAAACTCTTAATATTGAAACTCCAAGAGAAGAAAAAATTTATATGACAGTTGCTGTTGATTTAGTAATACGTGGTATTCGAGAACCTGTTAGATTTATAATAGAAACATTAGTTAAAGTATTTCCACAAAATGAAAGATTTTGGTATTTTAATAAACGAAATCTTGTACAACAATTTTATCTTAATTCGAAAGAAGTACGATATTATTTAAAATATTGATTTTTTTAATTAATTTTTTAATCATCTCAGTATAAACTTTATAAACATATACTATTATTTTTAGATAATATCTGGAGATGGAACAGAAGTTCACTATGAAGTACAAAGTATAGAAACTTCAGGAGAATTAGACAGAAACAGATTAAATCTTGCTCTTAATTTAGCATCACTGATAAGATCTCCTTCTTTAACTAGTATTGACACACTTACACCCAAAGAAGAAATAGATTCAGGTTTAAAAAAAATTTGTATTTTATTTAAAAGAAAAAAATAAGAAATATATTGATTATGCCTTTATATTAATAGATGGTGATGAACCAATGTTAAGTGGTACAGGTGAAGTATCAAAAGATTGTTCTGCTGATGAATTAGCTAATTGGGCAGAAGTACTTGACAGTTGGCAAATAAATGAACAGCGTCCAAAACTTCTTATAAAACTTACAAAACAAGGTATTCCTGAAGCTTTACGCGGTGAAGTTTGGCAACGTTTAAGTAATTGCGATAATTCACAAGAAATGATGGATAGATATAGGACTTTAATTACTAAGGTATGTAAAAGTAATATTGTGAAAAATTGTATTTCATATTGTATCCATAGGAAATTGCATTATTTGTATTGTATTATATTGCATTTAATACAATCTATAGGAAAGCAGTTGTGAGAGTGTTATTTTAAGAGATATTAATAGAACATTTCCTGCCCATGACTTTTTCAAAGAAACAGGTGGTTTAGGACAAGATTCTTTGTACAGAATAAGTAAAGCATATGCAGTGTATGATGAAGAAGTAGGATATTGTCAAGGACTCAGTTTTTTAGTTGCTAGTTTATTGCTTCACGTAAGTAGTTGACATAAAATGATTAATATTTATAAGAAATATATTTATTTGTATGATGGTAATTTATTATGGTATGTAATGACAAAAAAAAACATTAGGTATTTTTTGTAGATGCCGGAAGAACAAGCTTTTTGTGTTCTGGTTAAGTTAATGTATGATTATGGTCTAAGAGATTTATATAAGGATAGATTTGATAATCTTCATATGAGATTTTATCAGCTTAATAGATTAATAGAGGTTTGTAATACATGATACTAAATTAAATGGGATTATATAATATTTCTTACTTGCAATTATTACTAATTTTTTAGGATCAGCTGCCAG